TCCCGAATCAATCCTGGCGGCTAACTTTTGAGATAATCATGTGCAACTTTTTAGCATAGGTAAGATGGATTGTACCATAAGTTCAGCTGAAGCGTCAGAATTGTGGACCGATGATGTGTTGAATCGAACAGTTTCTGTATTTTTGGATCTGCGCTTTCCTATTTGCCTGGCTTGCAACAAAATGGATGTACCAGGCGCAGAAGATATTTACAATCGGATTGTACAGAAGCACCCAAATGGTGAGTTTCCGTAATTTCCGTAGGACTTATCGTATAAGAATTCCACTGCTTGTTCTGAAATATCTGCTGCTACTTCTGAGATTCTGCTGACCATTCCAAGGTTCTTTTCAACTCGTTAAAGTATTGTATGCTATAGAAAAGAAATGGAAAATGATAGTGCATTCCAGCATTGAATCATATTTATTCGTCTTGACTCACATTATCTCTTTGCTTTTGTCACATGATAATACGACTTCTCTAGCGGTGCCAGTGTGTGCAGCGGCGGAAGTACAATTGCAGCTGCTGAAAACTAAGGGTAAAATTGAGTACACTCCAGGGAAAACGGAATTCCGCGCGACACAAGGTTTGTTACTGTGCATGTCAACTGAATCAAACAGTGCTGTTTCTTTTTGTGTGTCGCTTCCCCCTCGCATATCATCATTTATCGTATTGGGTCTGTAGAGTGATCAGAAACCGAGTGAACCTCTCATAGCCTGACATGCCATATCGCGGATAGGAGGATATGACATCTCATATTTCCTACGTACGATATGATTTAGACCTGCAAGACAAATATGCCATAATAACGTCGTTTGTAACCAGGAACACTATTCTATCACTCGGAACACAGGCGTCATACTAACGTCAAAAGAAGAGATCATCTGTGCAAACGCTCGTCTGATCTTGAGTCGCTTTCAGAATACCGGTGTCCTAGCAACCCTGTCCAAGGTCAATTGCAACGCATCCTGATTGCTGAATTTTGTGAAATTTATTTGTGTATCCTCGCATGCTTGCAACTCATTGGCAATATGCCTATATAATGCATTCTTGAGTAGTGGTCTTGAGTCAGTTTCTTGAATAAGCTCTATTTAAGGTTGACTGTAACATACTATTTCGTTTGACTTTTGTGTTTTCTACTCGGTATCTATACGCTTGCTTGCCACGTATTGGTGATGTCAAATTTTCAATACAATTCTTAGACAGCTATCTTGAGTTGCTCTCAGAATACTGGCGCCCTAGTAGCCCTGTCTACTGTCGGCTGAGCAGACCTCTGATGCTGACATTTGTGATTTCTTATGTAATTTTTCTTGAATGTTGCAAGGATATGCTTGGGTGATGTAGTCCTCCAATTGCTGTTTTGAGTCGCTTTCATAACGCCGGTGTCCTATCAGCTCTAGCTATGATTGTCTAACCTATTTTGTTCAACGTGTAGTGAAAAAGAAAAAGAAAAATGATGTTTTGAATGAATGTCCACTATGAGCGATGATGATCGCGAGTACTCGTTCCAGAAGTCGTGCAGAGTTGATCGTGTATGAGATTGGAAGCGGGATTCCGCTGAATCAGGTTCAATTGTATCACATATCACACCTGCTCAGGGGCTTACGACCAAACCGTCACACTACGCACCTACTCATCCATGATGTAATTGAACATTCGGAATCAATAGGCGGTGGCAACACGTCCGCCCGTTATGTGCTTCCCAGTAGATGATTTGGACACGTTCTCTCCTTTGCTTCATCAAGGCGTAAGTTCAGATGTGAACCATTTTGGTACCGACTCGTGCTCTTGTGTGCATACTTAATGTTTATGTTACTGGTGGTAGTATGTTGCTGGCACATGACAACATCCTGAAGTTGCCTTGCTGGCACATGACACCATCCTGGAGTTGCTGTCGAGTGTGACGAGATGCAGTTACAGTTTAGACTAATTAGCTTATTGATTCACGCATCCGCATTTTAAGCGTCAGTCATACCAGTACCCAGTAGATTCGATTTGTTTGCGACCCGGATCAACTATTGACGACGTTTTCAACATCTTGTGCCGTAAAAATGAAGGGAGCATCGTTCGGACGCAGGACTGTGGGCTGCAGGACATCGCAGGTATAGCAGAGGGGGGAGTGCTATAGGGGAAATCTAATACGGATTGAATTGTTGGTTGAATTTCATGTCTTTCGAGTATAGTGTACAAGTGAATTTGTTGGCAAGTCGGTAAGCTTCCTCTGCGTGGCTGGTGTACAATTATTAAACTAAATACAATCGTGGGCCTCGTTGTAGAGGCGACGAACCTAGTATACTATCGTGATATCGTCCAAGACACATAATAATTGTTTACGATTTTGATTCCAACTTTTTTGTTCAATCGGGGTTTTTAGTGTGGCACGTCCATTACAGAAGATATAATCAACTCAATCGAACCTATCGATACTGGGGTTACCATATTAGAAGGTGTATCTGTGTAAATCGACAGCTGTCAAACCATACATACCTTTTAAGAATAAGTGTTTGTCTAAATCGAAGGCTTTCGTGTCGCAGGTACCATATTAGGAGGTGAGTTCGTGAGAGCCGAGGGATGTCGACTTGATGGTTCAGGCCGGCGTTTGTTGCAACGCACGCAGGTGGTGAATGAAAGCTGCGCAGTGCTCAGAATAATGGCGACTAAGAAAAGCAGGTGGCAAAAGGCACGGAAATCGAAGCATGTATGATACTGTAATTGGTGCTGATGGTAGCCAGAGATGAAGCTACATTAGCATGAAGTTTTAAAGGTTGGGGGTTAAAGATTTACGATGGCAAGATGGTTTGTAGTACACGACTGTTACGTATTACCCTCAGGTGTATTTTCTCCTCGAGACTCTGCACGTCAAGATTGACATTCTTACTTGAAAGGATTTGATTGCATTCTTTGCACTACCTGAGCATAAATAGCAGACTTTCTATAATCAGACTTTTGATAAGCTTCAGCTATCGATTTTCAGCCATATGCGTAGTCGTGGAACGTTCCTGATTTATGTCCCTACCCTCACGCATGCGTAGTCGTTTAATTGACAAATATGGGATGGACCAGAAAACGTTCCGCATTTTCACACTCATCTTCCTCGTCGGTGAGCAAACAACTTTTATATACGCAAGCAGCTTATTCTACTTTTGATTTGGACAAAATCTTTTTAACAACTGCATGTCGTTCTTTAAATGTTTTTACGTAGAGCTACCTCTTTCTTAAAGGTGAATCAGCAAACAGGTCACACTAATATCGTCTTTGGTGTCTGCAGTGGGTTCTGAATGGGTTTACGAATTCTTACGAATTCGCTGGCCTTTGATGCTTGTTGTACGTAGTTATACCCGTGCTCCTCTTTCGAGCAGTATTATGCTGAGCTCTGGTGCTAATTTGATTTTTTTTGGTCGATATACCACCGACTAGCCAGATACAGGCTAGGCTGTCCGTGAAAACGAAGCTGAACACCTTACTGGAAAAATATCAAACTTTAGTAAATACATTTTTGGATTACATAACAAATTATCTTGTCTGCTGCTTGTAGGTCCAGAAACTTGTATGACAACACGCATATCGCAATACCGGTAGACAGATTTATGTCTCTATTATACCTGCGGTGAACTGAGCTGATCTTTGTCATTTGTTTGATTCTTGACAGTACATGCTACGACATGTTCAAGATAATTTTTTTTTGCTTAACGTGTGTATTATCACAAACGTTTCTATATATAGTCCATGTTAGGGCAAAATACGCATCAATTTACAAGCATCTCGTATACAACTACAGTTCGGTCAAATAAACGTAGCAAGCCATTGATATGGACTGTCGAGTGTCACACGTGACAATGACGGACATCCACTTGAAACCTGTTCCACCAAAATGTTTATGAGATTGCAATTATATATTGGGATGAAGGTATATAACAGACCTCTGCAAAGGCACAATAATCTTACTTGCTACATGGTTCGTAAACCGCGATAAGGACTTGAGTTTGGTGCATCTCAAAAAGTCCGAGTTCGGATAGTATTTCTTAAATATAGAAATGACCGGCCAAGGACGGTCACAGCAAACTGTAACGATATGTGTATTTGTATGTCCGGTTATAAAACTGGATGAAACCGATAGTGGTTTTATCCAAAAATTGTATGTAAAAATTTGCCCCAAGCTGAACGCAGTAGTAGCTTACCTTTATATACATTCTTGCAGGACGAGAGCTCTATCAACCTACAATGTAATATCTTGCTCTACACGTTGGGATCACCAGAATTGTAAATCTAATCACTTCAATATTAATCTATGTAGCTCAAAAGGATTGTATTATAGCAATACGACATCAATAGTGACAGACATGGTAGTGGTAGCAGTTTGCAAGATCAATGCGAATAGATATGTTCACACCACACTCTGTATTTGACAAATCATTTAGTTAAATCCATTTTTACATAGCACATAGTCACGGGAATTTAGCATATATTAGTGTAGGATGAGGGGACTATAGATATGGTGCAAATGTGTCTTCAAAATAGTGCGTTCGAAGGAATTTATTTTTCATCTCACCTTCAGTTATATACGAATGTTGTTTGTATTAGTTTTTCAATAGCTTGAATTGGCCAGTTTAAAAACTCGATGTTATTTTTTTTTACTCGTGCACTCGGGCTAGGGCCCCGTGGGGGCTTATAAATAGAACTAGTTTGAGAGTAAGTATCAGACTACTCTCACGTGATCGGACTAGCCTACCTACAATATAATTAATAAAGATACACTACTATTATAAATAAATATTAATTTGAGAATAAGTCTCAAATTGCTCTCTGATTGATGATGTATAACGACATTAATGTAAATGGGAATACGTTGATTTGCGTAGTCTCTTAGCATGACCGCAAATGAGAGCTTGCCAGTAAAAGAGAATTGTTTATCGCGCATCGGTGCCAACCATACATAGTTGCCAGCAACTATAACATTTCGTGTGGACTTCACTAAGCGTCTGTCGATCAGTAAGCGATGAGCACTTCAGACTAGATCGTGAATTCCTTGACCGTGATGTTGTGATAAATTGAATCTTTCATCGGAATGAGCACACGATACTACTTGTATATGTGTTTGCCACTTTACGATTACACTCGTAGCCGTACCGATTAGTTAAATATTTCGATTTCAATGCATATCACTGCGTTTACATAGTACATACGCAGTGGGAGAACTTTATCAAAATATGAACATATACGCTGAATTCATTATTCGAAACAGCCTCACTCAGTGATGGAAGCTCGGAGAGTGATCAAGTGGGTTCATATCACCTCATAAAAACCCTATGAATTGGCCTACGGTAAACAACAGTATTTTTATCAATCGTGTAAAGTCGAAAAGACTTCTGAAACGCTATGTATAGATCTTCCCGTATATACCGCAAATCATGTATCTCAATATGTGAATAGCCATAGCTCTACTAGCAATATTTTGTCAACCAATATTGAAACGGTCTACCAAAGGCTTATATATCATTGCAAGTATTCAGATTCGAGTGATATAACCAGCGAATACATCGCTGGACTTGAAAAATGAAAAAGATTACAAACATAACTAGTTTGGCAGAACACTGTAGAGTCATCGATGTTAGACAATAATATCAGTACTCGTATAGCTTTGAGGTGGTTCTAAGTGTACTCAGAAGTAAAGAAATATACAACGGTAAGTGTAGAGTAAGACTGTGATACGACTATTTGGGGAGGATAAATAAGATAGGGGGGAGGCACGTGATTAGTAAGAACCATTCAGTATCAAAGATAATACGACCCTATTTGCAACTTGTTTTGATAAGGATCGCGCTGTGTATAATACGGAACGCATGATTGTATTTGTAGAGTATGGAGAGTATCTGAAAGGTACGAGTCAAAGAATACAATAGACCTCTTCTCAAGTATGGTTATCTCATCCAGAAAATTATCTAGTCTGAGAGAACTGAACTGAGTCTTTATTTGTGCTTTCTAATTCACTGGACTCAGGTTTCTACTTGAGTCTCGATATAGCTTATCGGTTCTACCGCTAATATTTCTGATGACTCCAATATCACCCTCTTCATGTGGCGTGAGGAGTGATCCCCATTTTCCATCTGTTGGTATAAGCGGATTGATCAATTCTGCTATGTATATACCTATGGATGGTAGAATGTCCATACCGAGAAGTATTCGTGCCTCTTGACTGGTGGGTCTAACACTTAAAAACACTGAGCTTTTCCTTCCTCCGTGATTAATGTCACATACTTGGGTTGACCCTGTTCTTTATACTCTTGCATCTGCTTGTGCTAGTTGTATATAGCCCGGTTGCGCTCTGACAAGGAGATATAATTCAGGTCTATACATGAGCGTTGTGCGTCAGAGTCTACTAGTGCATTGTATGTATGGCCATTAATTTGTATATTAATGTGTAATCGTTGGTCTTGTGGTGCAGGAAGCAAGGATGCAGGTTGGTAATTTACATCATTTGCATTTATTAACAACGTTTCTTCATCTGGATTTACATTAAGCCTGTCAGCCAGGTCAATCATGTTTGCTTCACTCACTAGTTGTTTCAGTGCTCATCGCAATCTGCGATGTCTTCATTCCATGGGATCAATACAGAGATCCTTTCGGACACCTGTGGTGGTCCCTTAAGTCGTAAGCTTTCTGTCCTACGATACTTGTATAAGTCCTTCATCCAAACTCTGTGTGCATCAGCATCACAGAAACGAACAGCCAGAGAGGGTAATCGTGATAAATGGTAGAATACTCCGGATATAAGTGAGCCTTTGATCCACTCCCCTGGTTTGCAGCATTGTACTACAATGTTCTCCTTCAAGATCCAGCCGCCGACATAAAATGACTTCGACTCTGCCACAGTACCTATCACTACATTGGTATCTACGTTGATTATCTCCTTTCGCTTCTTTTCTACATGTTCATTGTTCATTTTCATCTGAATTTTCAATGTTGTCGAATTCTACATATTCAACCCTCTTTTTCTTGGGTTTTTGCATGCGCTTCGTCATTCCAGGGAATAGCAGGCCACCAAGTGCGTCTACACGCTGTTTTCTTTTGAAAAAAAAACACCTTTAATAATACGACTCGAGCACACGTATACGTTTCAATTGTCTACACGACCGCCGATGTCGCGATTCGCGGCCACTGTGTGGGATACCCGCCAATCTCGACGAGCACACGCGCCCTGACCAGTGAAAAATTATGCGAGCTTTTTCATATAAATAGAGATTGTCTACACGACCGCCGATGTCGTGAACCACGGCCACTGTGTGGGATAGCCACCACACACAGCCGAGAAGTTCACTTGTGACAAGTCCATTCTTTTTCTCATTGTACAATACTGTGTAGTTTGAGCATTATAAATTCATTTCTACACTATTGTCAAACATGCCAGTACAATCCATTTTCCGCGTCTCGACTTTATCCCCCGTACTAAATTGTACATGAGGATAATGTACGGATCACTTTCATAGTAATGCAGAACTACTTGCACACATCAACACTACGCACAAACTGGCAAGAGTGTGTATGTGGCGCGGAGGCAGCAAGACGCACACTTGGCTGAACAATTGTGCATTACGACGACACATTCGTAGACACACTGGTGAGAAACCATTCGTTTGTCAGTGGGCAGACTGTGGGGCCAGGCCCTCTACTTGGAGCCGTGACACTCGGACATCTTTGAGTTCCTGGATGCGCGGCTGCCGCATGGGGATGACAATATCTGTGCGCGCGACTTGTCAAGCTCCGGAAAAATTGTCTGCACATCCTCCGCCAATGGCCACCGACTCGTTACCGAAATTTGTCATGCCGGCCATGTACCCTATAGCGACAGAACCGTCACCCTGGTCCGTTCGTCCTGCCTGGTAAGCTCGTAAACGATAATCCCTGGATGTCGGGTAACTATTACGATACAGAGAAGAAAACATCCGGCTACACAAAGGTGAGTCGTGCCTTGTCAGGTGCACAGTATGAGAATATCCCTCATCCACTGGACGAAGAGCTGCTCATCGGGCGTGTGGTGGAGGTGCTGGCCGTTGACATTTCACGGGCCATCTTTGTCAAGCGCGCACAGTCGAGCACAGTCGTTGGCATGCTGATCATATCGATCCACTTTACCATCGGTGTCGTGACGTGGATTATCAAGCGCAAAAATAGCACTTCATCTCATTCGACGCTGTACTAGACCTCGGCGTCGTGGCCAGAACAGGCCGTACGCGACGCTCGTGTACAGCACAAGTCCAATAATCACGGACAACACGCGGTTGCAGTACATCCAGTTGAAGATGGCCGAGTCCCAGGAGTTCCATGTTTTGCCTTGCAGCGGACGCAGGTACTGGGAATTGGCACGATAGCGTTGAGCACAGATCACAGGGATGAATCTCCCGGTAGTTGAGCAGTCCGATAACCTTACCCGTGTCGTAGACTGAGCTGAGACGGACCGGTGATGTTGTACACCTGAAAGTGTTTCGTCCAGTACCACTTGATTCTTGTTGCCTGGATCCGCTCCAAGTACTCGATCCAGAAGGGCACGTTGGGCTTGGACGCCATGATAGAGTTTGTGAACGAGCCGTTGTTCGCGGACTGTGTGATGTAGACCTAGTTGTCGTTTGCGTTTGTGGCGCTCCGGAACAGCGAGTCGATACTCTTGAGTGGCATGTAGTCCATGTCAATGTACAGGCCGTCGTGGACGTACATGTAGCAACACCGGATGGCGTCTGCGCGTTGGATGGCGTGCTTGAGGTTTAATGCAGTAGCAATCGGGAATCGCGCTGGCCAAACAACCCAGGGTGTAAATTCCGTGGCTATAGGAAAGAGCGCCGGAAAGACGGACCAGGGTGAGAACACGGTAGCCATAGGCCTACAGTCGGGGCTGGATTCACAGGGCGCCAACAGTGTTGCGGTGGGTCTTCGGTGCGGCGAAACGCGACAGGGCAACTACTCGGTTGCGATGGGGTGGCAGGCGGGTTTCGAAGACCAGGATGTGCAGGCGGTGGCCATGTGTGCAGGGCATTTTTCAAAGACTGTGTGTTTTGAATTTTTGGCTTTGTGGTAAGTACGCGTCAATTAACTACATCTCAACGACAAATACCCATTTCTTAACCAGAGTCCATCCTTCAAACACATGACGTCTCGACGTTGATCCTCGAGGAACTCGTGGGCTCACTCGCGATTACTTTATTACACTCACCGACCCTGGAAGTATAGAGAATCAAAACTCATCTAACACTAACTGATTTCTTACTCTCCTTCGAACAATTATCTTGGTGATGTGTGCCCCGCTGGTCGGAGCATCCTCTCGGCCTGCCCCTCGGTTGCTCCTGCTCCGACCTGATGTCTGCTTAGCCTCGGAACCTCATCGTATACTCCATCTATCGCTCCTGATTGCTCTTCTTGGCATGTGCCGTTGCGGTTGTGATATTATGTTCCTCAACCTAAGACCTATGTGTTAGATATTTCACCTCTATTATGTTATCGCAAACCACATCTTCGTGGTAAGTACGCGTCAATTAACTATATCTCAACGTACTCCTCTCATCAGAGGTGAGTCGTTGGCTATTTATTGAACATTACTTGATTAACATTTGGTCAATTAGCGCATGTGCGTAATCGGATCAGAACCCTAAACTGGGTTTATGACCGATCGACAAATAAATCCTAATAACCCTAAATCATATATATGACCACATCTTTTGTGCGTGCTCCTGAGGCGTTCCCAGTACCTAATGTAGTTAGAAGCTCCAGTGATTTGTGTATGCATGTTTGTCTATTTCACAATTTTAACCTTGTGCTACCGACATTGTTCGTAGTATGTACGTTTCCACCTTATATATGCTTAACATAAGCTAAGCATACAGATGGGTATCACCGCTTCTGTACTCTTGCTGCGACAACTTCTTCCATCGACGACCCGAACTAAATCGCCTTATTCGTCCTCTAGTTGTAGTTGACAGTTCGTAGCTAGTTGTCGCTTCTCAACTTCGGTGCTACCTAATAATGGTTAGACTTAAGTAGATTATGTTAATAAATGTTGCCGTCTATTCATCCATAAATTATAAGCCCAATAAATAACTCTGTCAGGGTCCTAACTCCTAGTTCCTTGTGTATTGTTTGTTGTGCGCGTGTATGTACATTGTCTATGTCATATAACCTTCAGTATCGACTATATGTGTGCGCTGTTTTGTCCTTTGACGGGTGTACTATGTCTTCTGGTTTACCCTGTATAGCAACTAACTCTAATTCTTCAAACTTAATGTCTGATTCCTTTGTAAAGTTTGTAAAATAATGTAGTGTATCGCTACGGCTTGTATCGTAGTACTAGACGAATCGGCTCTCACCATGTGTACCCTCCACTTCGACTACTGTATATTCTTTCTACCTTCTTCCTTTCCGCTAAAAACTCTTATTTTATCGTTTACACTCATTACCCCTCTCCACACACTATTTGCACTTGTCTCATACAATCACAACTATCCTACCTATACTCACACGTGATTACTTATCTGTGGATTTTGTTGATTCTTCTGATTTCGTTGTCTGTTCATCCTGTGACCTTCATTGTTGCTCCTAGGCTGGTGTAGTATTTGATTGTAATGGCTCCTTCTCGGTTTCACTCGACTCCCTCGGTCTTGTCGTCCACACATTGTTAGTTCGACGCCCAGTTAGTCTAAATCGTTCAATATGGTGAGCCATTTCGCGTCTGCTGATTCTAAATCTATTCTCCTCGATTTCACCAACCGCAGGTGGTTTTCTACGGTTCTGCCCGTAGTTCTCATGTCTCGAGTATTCTTCTGCCTCACTACTGCTAGTCGACAGTAATGGTGGCATCGTATCACTAGCCTCACTACTCGAGACCCCACTATCTCCTTCTTCGTCCGGTAAATTTCGGAAGATCTCGTCAATTCGATGTGACATTCTTTGAGCTTATTATTCTTAAATTGTCCTTAGAATAAAAAAAATATCCTAGCTAACGGCTATTACTTATTCCATAGCTTCCTTATAATTACTAATAAACTAACAACTTCCTAAAGTAAGTTAAAAATGTAGTAAGTAAACGCTGGATAACTGTATCTCAACGTTCTCCCTCCGTAGAGAGGGAGACGTTGTTCATTTATTAGTAATTGTAAAATTAGTGACTCTAAAAGTAAGTTATAATTCATGTGCTGTAATAGTCAGTAAAAACCAAGTTTAACAGAATATTCTGATAAACTGTAAAAAACTATAATATCTAAAATAAACAACTAAAACCTACTTGTATTTTGACCACACACACACACACACACACACACACACACAC